TCTACGTGCCGTTCAATGCCATGGGTGAACGGGATATTTTGAAAATTTGGACAACAGTTAGTTCGCTTGGCTCTGCATCGAAACATGTTGAAGACAAAATTAGTGTCAAGAACTCACGGCTTCATATGATAAAGCCCCAAGCGATTCTCACACCTCTAGAAAGCCGCTAGGAATCTCACGAGAGAGACATCCGCATCCAGCGCTCTCCTCCCAACGAGCGTCCCGTGGTCTAGTGGATAAGGCACTGGGATTCCAAAGCGCAGGTCACAGGTTCGAGTCCAGGTAAAGGTAAGGTAAGAATTCACATTCGAGTAGAGAAATCGATATGCGGTAGAAGGGAAACTATAAAGAGCAAGAAAGAGGGAAAAAGGGGGATGAGAAACCGGAATTATTTTAACGTTAAAAAAATTGCCGTCTACACATGTCTTTGTGTAGACGTCTAAATCTGGGAACGAAAGTGTGCACTTAGATCATCTAATAGATGTCTTTGCTAGACATCTATTAGATGATCTTTCATCTATACATGGATTTCTAAAAGATGTCTATTAGTCGTCTACTTTCTCTGTGGGTCCAACTGCACGCAGAAGTTCAACTACTTTCCATTGTTGCCAGAAAACCAAAAGAGGGTATGAAAAATAATACACCACTGATTTCATGGACATCAAAATATTGTTTGATACAACTCTTGTTAACTAGGGTACTACACCTTTAGATAAAACCAGGACTCTGGGAATATGAGTAATCTCCGTACATTACAAAGCGAATTACAATCGTTTTCTGGCTTAAAATAAGAGGTTGGCAGTTGAGTCAGGATTAAGGAGATACTGGCAAATTGATAAAGAAGTGGGTTGAGTCGTCAAAGCACCACGTTAGGAAAATGATTGGCGACAAACGGTGTTCTCAAATGGCCCTCCCTTCAGCTACTCTGCAAATCCAACAGTAGAACAGTCCTACTGTTGGATTTGCAGAGTAACTAGATAACCCTTAAGAAAAAGTTCTGCGGCACACGGTTCACTATAAAGGATTACTTCCCAGTATGGGTACGTAGATGAGCCCTCAGATTACTTGATCGACAAAAAGTTTTGCGACAGACGCTGCACTCAAATGGCTTTTCCCCAGTGTGGGTTCGTAGATGAGTCTTCAAATCACCACTTATAGCAAACGATTTGTAGCACAAACTGCAATCAAATGGCTTTTCTCCAGTATGAGTTCGTAGATGAGTCTTCAAATCACCACTTATAGCAAACGATTTGTAGCACAAACTGCAATCAAATGGCTTTTCTCCAGT